CGACCCCCCCGGGGCTGCGAGCCCCCCGCGACCCCCGCTCAGGTACGGAGAGACCCCTCAGCCCCTCACCCATTTAACCCTTCCGTGCCTGCAGTGCTCAGGAGCTGGCATTGTCCCCAAATGTCACCCCCTGTCCCCATTTAACCCTTTCCTTTCTCCCCACAGTGCCCAGGAGCTGGCATTGTCCCCAAATGTCACCCTCTGTCCCCATTTAACCCTCTCCTTTCCCCCCACAGTGCCCAGGAGCTGGCATTGTCCCCAAATGTCACCCCCTGTCCCCGTTTAACCCTTTCCTTTCTCTCTGCAGTGCTCAGGAGCTGTCTCAGGAGGTGTCCCAGGAGGTGGCATTGTCCCCAAATGTCCCCAAGGTGTCCCTCTGTCCCCCATTTAACCCTTCCCTTTCTCTTTCCAGTGCCCAGGAGCTGTCCCAGGAGCTGGCATTGTCCCCAAATGTCACCCCCTGTCCCCATTCAACCATTTCCTTTCTCTCTGCAGTGCTCAGGAGCTGTCCCAGGAGCTGGCATTGTCCCCAAATGTCACCCTCTGTCCCCATTTAACCCTTTCCTCCCTTTCTCTGTGTTTTTTGCAGTGCTCAGGAGCTCTCCCAGGAGGTGAAGGCGTTCCTGACCGGTCTGGACCCCGTCCAGGGTGTCCCCCTGTCCCCAATGTCACTATTTAACCATTTCCATGTGTTTTTTGCAGTGCCCAGGAGCTCTCCCAGGAGGTGAAAGCATTCCTCACGGGTCTGGATCCCATCCAAGGTGTCCCCCTGTCCCCATTTAACCCTTTTATCACCCATTTAACCCTTTCCTGTCTCTCCCCTGCAGTGCCCAGGAGCTCTCCCAGGAGGTGAAAGCGTTCCTCACGGGTCTGGATCCCATCCAGGGTGTCCCCCTGTCCCCCGGGGTGTCCCTTTGTCCCCATTTAACCCTTTTCTCTGTCCCCTTACAGTGCCCAGGAGCTCTCCCAGGAGGTGAAAGCGTTCCTCACGGGTCTGGACCCTGTCCAGGGTGTCCCCCTGTCCCCCGGGGTGTCCCTTTGTCCCCATTTAACCCTTTTCTCTGTCCCCTTACAGTGCCCAGGAGCTCTCCCAGGAGGTGAAAGCGTTCCTCACGGGTCTGGACCCTGTCCAGGGTGTCCCCCTGTCCCCCGGGGTGTCCCTTTGTCCCCAATGTCCCTATTTTAACTCTGTCCCTGTCTCTTCGCAGTGCCCAGGAGCTCTCCCAGGAGGTGAAAGCGTTCCTGACCGGTCTGGACCCCATCCAGGGTGTCCCCCTGTCCCCATTTAACCCTTTTCTCTGTCCCCTTACAGTGCCCAGGAGCTCTCCCAGGAGGTGAAAGCGTTCCTCACGGGTCTGGACCCTGTCCAGGGTGTCCCCCTGTCCCCCGGGGTGTCCCTTTGTCCCCAATGTCCCTATTTTAACTCTGTCCCTGTCTCTTCGCAGTGCCCAGGAGCTCTCCCAGGAGGTGAAAGCGTTCCTGACCGGTCTGGACCCCATCCAGGGTGTCCCCCTGTCCCCATTTAACCCTTTCTCACCCATTTAACTCTGTCCCTGTGTTTTTTGCAGTGCCCAGGAGCTCTCCCAGGAGGTGAAAGCGTTCCTGACGGGTCTGGACCCCGTCCAGGGTGTCCCCCTGTCCCCATTGTCACCCCCTATCCCCCATTTAACCCTTTCCTCCCCTCTCCTCTCCTCTCCACAGTGCCCAGGAGCTCTCCCAGGAGGTGAAAGCGTTCCTGACGGGTCTGGATCCTGTCCAGGGTGTCCCCCTGTCCCCATTTAACCGTGTTCTCTGTCTCTCCACAGTGCCCAGGAGCTCTCTCAGGAGGTGAAGGCGTTCCTCACGGGTCTGGACCCCATCCAGGGTGTCCCTTTGTCCCCAATGTGACCCCCTGTCCCCATTTAACCCTCTCCTTTCCCCCCACAGTGCCCAGGAGCTGTCCCAGGGGCTGGCATTGTCCCCAAATGTCACCCCCTGTCCCCATTTAACCCTTTCCTTTCTCTCTGCAGTGCCCAGGAGCTGGCATTGTCCCAAATGTCACCCCCTGTCCCCATTTAACCCTTTTATCACACATTTAACTGTTTCCCTGTCTCTTTTCAGCGCTCAGGAGCTCTCCCAGGAGGTGAAGGCGTTCCTGACGGGTCTGGACCCCGTCCAGGGTGTCCCCCTGTCCCCCGGGGTGTCCCTTTGTCCCCAATGTCACCTCGGCTGTCCCTTTCTCACCCATTTAACCCTTTTATCACCCATTTAACTCTGTCCCTGTGTTTTTTGCAGTGCCCAGGAGCTCTCTCAGGAGGTGAAGGCATTCCTGACCGGTCTGGACCCCGTCCAGGGTGTCCCCCTGTCCCCTGCTGCCCACGCCCGCTGCGCCCTGCGCCTGCTGCGCTCTCTGCCCCCCGCCCGGCACGCCGCCCTGCAGCACCTCCGCTCCCTGTTTGACGACCAGGTCTGCGCCCACCTCCTGCAGCGCGAGGCTGCCACCGCGTCCCCAATGTCCCCMATGTCCCCAAAAGCCACCGCGGGCGCCGAGGTGCTGCAGGAAGCGCGCCGAGCCCTGGCCGAGCTGGTGGCCACCAACCCCCGCGCGTGGGCTCCCGGAGTGGCCGCTTGGGCTAGCGAATTGATGGGCCAGCTGAGCAGCAAATACTCCGGGAGCC